TATCGGACGTAAATCTGGATCAACTCTTTTCAGAGATGTGGGTACGGAGGACAAGAGAGAGGGTTTTATTTTCCGACACTTTGTGAGTTCCCTGACACACCAGAGACACATAATTATGTATAAAATACATAAACAATTGCATTTTGCATGATAGGACACTTTTAAGACCTTTTCAGATACATGCAGCATAGCAGGGTTAAGAGACACAAGGAGGTAAAAGGTATGATAATACAAATAAAATACAATAAAATAAATAATGGTTCCTCTCGGAAAATAAGACTAAGTGAATCGATGCAACAATATGAAACCCTATAAAATAAAGTAAACATATAATTATGTCCAACAAAAATAAAAAAAGTTAAAACCCTCGAAGACCTACAATAAATTAAACAATATAGAAGTAGGTAAATAACAAAGACTAAAGGCTAATAAAAAGCTAATCTAAAAAGATGTGTCTTTAGCTGTCGTTGAAAAATGTCCACTGAGCTGGCCTCTCAGATATTTCCGGGTGTTCCAGTTTGGGGTTGAGTGGATAAAAGCTGCCTCACACATTTTTATTTTGGGGGACTTAAAGTGGACCTATCATGCTATATTTGAATAATATAGTATAGGACCATACCTATATAAGCAGGGGTGCACATAACTGGTACGCAGGTACGCATGCGCGGCAACAATCTGAAATGCGTACCGTCACTTGTGTCACAAAGCGCATTTGCGTACCGACCATAGACTGTATATATAAATGGACGTAGGGTCCGTGACGTCACCCATAGGATTCTGCAGAGTTGCCGAGAAGCCCTTAGTAGGCGGAGTCGGCCACTAACGGCTCGACAGTGACGTCTGAGTCTAACTCCCGCCTGCTACATCCTGCTCCAAATAAGGGCAAAGAGGCGGAGCCGAGGCGGGACCTTCTGCCTCCAGCTGGGAAGTAACAGAGCTAGCTCAAGCTAAGAAGCTAAGCTAACATGCTTCCCCATCAGCACACTGCCGTCACATTTTACGTTTCTAAGGTAAGCGGACATGAAACTATTCAGCAAAACTATAAATAATAATCTAAGTTATTGAGTTTTTAGCATAATACTTCAGAATCTTAAAATCCCTTAACGTTTGTATGCAATGTGCTAAATGCAACACTGGAATCAAGCAAATATTAATATGTTTGCATGACATTAGTTATTTATATTTTGCTATCACTTAATTATACGTTTAATACATTTAAGTTAAGCTAAGGTGCATGTGATGGTAGCTAGTTAGTGCTCTTACCTGTGAGGCCTCCTCCAAACAGCATTATAACCAGACTGTATCATTACAACTATAAGTACCAGTTCTAGATCCTTGACTTTAGACAAACAATTCAAAAGACAAAATGTATTTAAAGACCAATCTTTATTTGAAGGTGCCTCTTAACCTGGGATATTAGTTATACAGTAATAGTATTGACAATCTAAAAAAACTGAGCAACTCAACAGTCAACTTTATATTTCTTATTGTCTAAAGCATTTATTATTTTCATTTTCCCCTCATATTCAGTGTGGACGGATTGAGACAGCGTGGTGTCCAGAGAGCTGCAGAGACTTCAGGGAGAAACCTCCGTGTGATGGACGTCCTGTCTGTTGGTTTGGCCGGAGAGGACTGAGGGTCTTTCCTCAGCGAGGAGGACCAGGCCTGATGGAGGAGCCCATGCATAGCTGATACCACCTGATCAGGCCTAGTCTGTCACTTTATTTGACTAAATGTGTTTACTTATACATTTAATAGGTTTACACCTTCTGTCCATATGTGCTTTTTTATTTAAAACATGTTTGATTAACTTTTGGTTCAGATTTCAATAAATTGAATTTGTATTTGCACTCCTTTTGTCCATTATTCTTACTGAAAATGTTAGATTACACATTCACATCCGACTGAAGATTGGCCCCATTTATTTGCGTTGCAAACTCTGCGGTACAAGGTACATGTTGTGAAGCTCATAAAGTGAGGCAAATAGAATTAATCAGCTGATGGAGTGTAGATGTGGAAATAGGTGCATTCGATCAGCTGACTTCACAATAAAAGTAGTTTCTTAGTGAATGTCCTGTACTGGTCTTAACATCTCATAACAATAGCTTTTAATTTTCCTATTGGATGTTCTTCTTGACCCTCAGAGAAGGAGAAAATGTTGAGTCGTGTCTTCAGGCATGTCCTTTCCTAACAAAAATTACAGGAAACATAAAACATATTATTGCAGAACAAGTGTGTTATTTATGAAAGAGGTGTGTTTGTGTTTAGGGGCTGTAGATATAATTATTTTGTAATTGTAATGTTTTATTTTATTTCAACAGTGAGCTACAAAGACAATCAGATTATGAATGAACAGTATGAAATTCATCAACATTGAAATATATTTTATTATCAAAATAATATTTAACTGTTATCAAAACTTAGTGCAACTGTAGAAGCTTGCTCTGTTCTCTCACTGAAATCATAACTTTTACCACGTTTCTTTACAGACAATATTGAGAGATAAATAGCAGTTGTCACTAATAGCTTTGCCTTCAATACCTTAAATTAGAAAGCTGACAGTCATATTGCTTGTTAACATCTAAATGTAACCCTTTGCATGGAAAAAAACCCTCAACTTCACTGATGTGTAGGTGATCTAGTATTTAGTATTGTTTAATGGAATGTATATCAGTGTATTAAAGTCAATACTTCATTTATTTAAACCAATATCTTTCTTGATTCTTTGTACAGTATGAAAAAAGAGTATTTGTACCTGTGCTGAAGTTCACTGCTGTGAGGAGTCCAGTTCTGTCTCTCACTCTCTGGTCCATCCTGTCTGCATCACCTGGAAACTTTAAACAAACAGATATATATGTAAAGAACCATGTGTACAAACAATATAACTTATTCTCTTCTGTTGAACATGTTGGATTGTGTATTGTCCGAGTCAGGGTTCTTTTTATTTTACTGTAACTTTGGAAGTTGTGTTACCAATGCTGTTGTGTTACTGTTTATTTGATACCAATTTGGTAATGCACATTTCCTGCTGAAATACATGCATACCAAGTTACTGCGTGGCACTTTGGTTTTGATAAAACAGTGTAGTTCCACTATATAAACGTTACATTCATAATCAAACGAGACAATCTGCAAGATAATGAGCTATTTGTTGTTATTTTTAATGCTTGTCCTTCACACGTTAATCAAATAAAATAAGTACCGATACATAGCAGAACAATTGTGGCGATGTTCAGCTTAATAAGCCTTGTTCAACATAATTTATTTAGCTAATACTACAGCGGGCTGCAGGCGAACCAAGTCTGCGTTTCGCTGCATTCCTTGATCTCCAGTTATAATGCCGGACTCCGCCGCCGGCCGAAGCTAACGGAGCCGCCGGGACGCGCTAGCGAGCTAGCCCCCTGCGGCTCCGTTAGCTTCGGCCGGCGTGGACTCCGGCGGCCACCACTGGGATAATTGGGTCCCCTTTTAACATTTGCTCCCGTTTAGCATTATGGGCGTCACAGCCATATACTATAAAAGGCTGAATCATAAACTAAACTGTATATATATATATATATATATACACATGTATAAAGGGTTGCGTCCTTAGCTGGCTAATAAGCTACATAATAAGCTACATAACAAGCTAAACTAACAAGCACACAAACACCTGCTAACGGGATTAACATGTATAATATTATCATTTTACTCACCGAAAAAAGCTGAGAGTAGACTTCTTGGAAGGTCTGTTAGTACATTCAAGCGCACAGCACTACATTTCAATTGTCTGGTATTTGTAACAATATTCCCTAAAAGGCACAATCACCACGAACACGGCTAAAGGGTCAAGTACAGCAACTACAACTAACTAACGTTGTAGCCTAGCAGAGTGGACAAATTGCTGTTAGCTGACAGTGAGGCACGTACCTGTCCATCAAAGTGACCACGCCCTAATTTATGCAAAAACTTTAAGACCTAATATAAATAAAAGGGTCGTGTTAGAAAACAATTCACTCACAAATCCATAATCATGAAGGTGGAATCTAACTATATTCATAATAATATTTATTGGATCCATAGGTAGAAACATGTTTTTTTAGGCTGTGAAATTGGGCATTTTAACATGGGGCTCTATGGAAATTGCTCCTTTCTGCAGTCAGCGCCTATCGGCCAATATATGAACTGCAGTTTGTGGCACTTCCGCATTGGCGTCCCGGCTCTTCCCCAGAGTTTGCTGCTTGGTACCGACGTACTTGTGAAGCTTTTCCAGAAGGCGGTTAGATCACCGGTCTCCGTGTGCTGTGCACAGACAGGGCTGCTGTTAACGTCGGTCTGTGCAGCCCTGCGCTCAAACACGCTCCGCGGTCACGAAGCTCTGTACTCCACCCCCCCCCCCCCCCGTTGACAATCGCGAAGCGCTGTACTCCACTACCACCCCCCCCCCTGACCCATCAGAACCGTTGCAGCCCCTTTTTTTTTTAGAGATTTGGGTATGGAGGAAAATAGAGAGGGTTGTGTTTTCTGACACTTGGTGAGTTCCCTGGAACACCGGGGACACATATTCATGTAGAAAAGACGTACAAAAGTGCATTTTGCATGATAGGTCCCCTTTAAGGGATATTAAAAAGCTGAAGAGGCCCTCTGGGCTTGTCCAGGGACAGAAAACGAGACTGTGAGATACGTGGGTGCCAAACCATTAAGAGCTTTAAAACCAGCACAAGTCAAATCAATTCTAAAAGACACAGGCATCCAATGTAGTGCAGCTAAAACAGAGTATGTGCTCTCTTTTTTTCTGTTTTTTGTTAAAAGCCTGGAGGCGGAGTGCTGGATAAGTTGCAGCTTTTCGATATACTGTTTTGGAAGACCAGAAAAGAGTGCATTACAGTAGTCCAACCTACTTAATATGAATGCATGAATAAGCTTTTCAGCGTCTTGTTGGTTTGAAAATAGGCGTACTTTGGCAATATTTCTTAGGTGGAACAAATATATAAAGGCAACACAAATGGTCCACTTCAGGCCTCACAGTTATATGTTTTTATTCACAGTGTAAGTCAGGATATTCATTTTACATTCACATAGTAAGGTTTATGTAACTATATCCAACTAAGAACGCAATGAATAAAATAGCAGTGTAAATGTATGCTGGAGCTGTTCAATGTGTCAGTCATTTCTTCAGTGTCTGTTCCTCAACATGCTGAGCACAGCAGATGGACGTATAGAACATGCATCACTACACTCAATGGTTGTTAGAATACGTTTTACTTTTTCCATGAAAGCTTTAGTGTTTATGTCAAGTGTTGTGTCCATCCTTTAAAAAGGGAAGGATATAAAGCAGCAGGAAAACCGTCCGCCTACAGACCAGTAGGTTAAGTAGCAACTAACCTACAATACCTAAAACTACTTTACTGATTAGTGTTTCAGAATGGTATGATATCAGTGCATGACAGAAACTGGGTTTCAGGGAAAACTGTAAATAAACACACTGCAGCCTCAGAGCATTAGCATGTCACATGACCACACAGCACATATGCCCCTTTCACACCAACTCAGTTCCAGGGCAGGTTCGGAGCTGGAGCTTGAAAAGCACCAGTTTTTCCTGTTCACACCGCAGCGGAGCCGCCTCTAAGCTCCGGAATCCGGTTTGTTTCAAGCACCAAAAAGTTGTCTGTCTAGAAATACGTCACGCTTACGTCGGAGGCGGGGGCAGGGGCAGGGGCGGGATCAACCTCTAACAACAACAAAAAGCCAGCGTTTTATCCAGTTTGTACACAACGATGGAAAACCTAAAACTTAAGCAGCAGTGGTCCACTGAAGAGACCAGCTACCTCCTGGGAATCTGGTCTTCCGAAGAGGTACAGAAGAAGCTGGAGGGGAGCACGCTAGCTAGCTCTAACGCCATCGAATAGGACGTATATTTACCTTCTTTCTCCGACAGAATCGTCGTTGAAGTTGATGATGATGATGATGATTGTAAAGAACTTTTGAATGTAGCATGTAACGACTGTAAAGTCGTCCCATTTCTTCCATTTCATTTCCACAGAGCAAAACCAAAACGAGTAGCGCTTCAATACAATCGGCCATTGTTGTTGTCGATGTGAGGGGTTTCCGCGCGGTTTGGCTTTATGAAGCAGGCACGCAAACGGTTACGTCATGGCGCAAACGATGACGCAATGACGCAGCACCAGTCGGGCTCTGAACGGTGTGAACAGAGCGGGAGCTGAACCGAAGAACCGGTTCTGAACCAGAAAAGCTCTAGCACGGAGCTAGAACGGGAAAAGCCTTGGTGTGAAAGGGGCAATAGAGAACAATGAGAAGCATCAACAGTGGATCTGATGCAGACCGTTCTTCCTCTGGATAACTCTCTTCTTGACAGCAATGCTGGAAAAATAGAAGACTGGAGTGATCTGTCACAAGGTTGAGTGTTCTCTTGCACAGCTGTCCTCTTATCCACTGTCAGTATATGGGTCTATATAGCAAATAATGGGCAAGACTGTTTTGAATGTTCCATTCAGCCGCTGTGTATTTGGGAATGAAGCTGGAAGGTGAAAGGTCAGAGGTCAGTTTTCAGAGGAGTCCGTCTCCTCTGTGGAGCCATCACTTTCCACCTCTATCCTCCTTCTGTGGTGGATGTTCCTTCTGGGAGAGGCCTTCCTCTGCAGCATCTCCTTCAGCCCCCCCCACCGCACTGCCGCTGCTGTTGCTACCAGGACTCACAGAGATCTGGGCGATTCTGGACAGCGCAGGACAAAGAAAGAGATATTAAGAGACGAGAAGTAAAAAAAACTGTCAAAATAAAGAAAATAAAACAAGTTGGCTAGCCTCCTGTGCAGCATCCCGTTTTCCTTTTTGATACACAGGAGTGTTTGTGTGTGTGTTCTCTCACAGTTTGTCCAGTTCCTGGTCCATCTCTGGGTCAATAAGAAACTCTGCCTTGTTGGGTAATGCTCCTGCAGAAAGAGGGCAAAAAAAGTCATCCTTTTGAAGCCGTATTAATGAAAATCCCCTAAATGCTTAACGATTGTATAATGAATTGTTATGTCTTAAGTGAAAGGGATTACATGTGGTGATCAACGCAGAGAATTGTCACCACCTCAACAACAAAAAATACACTAAACACTGCCCAGCACATAACAGCTGTTACAAAGTTAGCAACTAGCTGGTAAACATAAGAGAGGATTCAGAAGCTAATGAGTCCTAAAAACAGAGCGAAGAGAGTAGATGTGGAAAATCCCTCTCCCACTCCTACCTCCCTCTGCCTGCTCCCTCCTCCTGCCACCCTGGAGGGGCGGAGCTAGCTAATCAATAAAAGCAGCCAGCTCACCTGTGGCAAATCCTTCCCCCCATGAACAAAGAAGCTGGCTGGCCTAATGCAACTCCTGAGCACCAATTGTTTGTCAGAGTAAATAATCAGTACGTTTTATTTTCCTTTGTATTGTATTCTCATAGCAGCTTGAGTAGTTTATCTCCCTACCGTTTAGATTGCATTTAGTTACCTTATTTCTACATTTCATATACTTATGTAAAAAGATAACTGCTTTGCTGGAATATCACTTGAAGTATGAATATTACAATTAAGACAAACAAGAATCAACAAATTACAATAAAAACAATGATCTGGAACTCCTGCCTCCATGTGCTCATCTTTAAATCCACTGCGTTGACTGTTAATCCCCCTCACAACCCTCAATATTCTTCAGTGGATATTGGAGGTAAAGTCATGAAATGGACAGAAAGAAGACTACAAATGAACAATAATGTTGTTCTGTTTCTTTTTCTGGAGGTGTATAGGTCTTACTGCTGCAATGCCCTCAAGTGGCCAAGAACATTAATTAATGCAGCTTAAAAACATGACACAAAGCTAGCTTTCCATGATGATAGGATGAATTTACATTTACAATAACTATTTATCTATATAACTATTTATTTTATTGGATTTAAAAAAAATCTAAATTCACCATGTAGTAGGTGGACATACCCTTGAATGCCTAGTTTCAAATAATGAATACACCTACCAATAGCTTGGTTGATGGCTTCATGTTTAGCCAGGCTCATTAGGAAGCTGTAGTAAGAGATCCTGTTGGTCTGTTCCAGCACTTCCCTCATACAGGACCTTGGAGGATGACTACACAAACACAACACACAATACTTCAATCACCTTCTGGTCTTATTTTCTTCCACACATGTTCCCCTTTTACACTGCGGTGCTTCCACTGCACCGGAGCCCTACTCTCCGCCCCGAAAATTGCTTTCACTGAGGCACCCTCTATTGAACCACGATTTTGGCACAAAGAGCTGAGAGCAACATACGTCTTCAGCTTACATACGTAGGGGGCGGAGAGGTTGTTTTGAACAGCAGCATATCACAAACCTTTCTTTCTTGTTTTCATATAGGAGAACAAAAATCAACAGGTTTAAGGTGTAATCAATACATTTACAAGTTGTCATATCAGACTTTCAGAAAACATATCATGGGGAAAATACTCCTGATAAACCAGCAGAGACAGCTAATGCCACAATGATAGCAACAAGTACATACTCATTCAAAGTATTTATGATAAATAATACATTTGCGTGTACACCATGTATGTTCTACGGCGTGGAGTTTTATATTATCCGTGAATGAATACAATTATTATTTAATGTTTATTATTGATTGACTGGCTAAGGTGGCTAGGCTAACATCATCTATGTAGAATGAGAAACTTCACTTTATACAATCCTTTAATTACGACGTGATATCGTCAAACAGGAACTTGTAAAGGTGAACAAACCATGTAATCTGCCATCACAACCAATGTAGGGCCCCCGGGGCTGCATGAGTTCAATGTGGGGCCCCTAGGGCTGCGTGAGTTCAATGTGGGGCCCCTAGGGCTGCGTGAGTTCAATGTGGGGCCCCCAGGGCTGCGTGAGTTCAATGTGGGGCCCCCAGGGCTGCGTGAGTTCAGCTGTGCTCTTTACTCTCTACACTGACAATTGTCGTACCAACACACCAAATCAATACATTATTAGGTACTCTAATGATACAGTGTTAATATCCCTGTTAAGTAACTCAGACAACCTTGGGCTGTAAATCAAGTGGTTGAGTGATAATAATTCTTCTGAGATTAACAGCAAAAAAACAGAGGAAAATGTGTTTGGCTCACCATCTGACTCCCATACAATCCCCATTGTAATACTTGTAACAAAGAATACAAGCAGGTACTTCCATATAAATATTTGGGCGCAGTGATACCATCTGGTATCCTGGAAAGATCTAATTGAATATCTCTGAATACACCTACCAAAAGGACAAAACAAATCATTTTGTTTTCGCTGCCTTAGGTCTTTCAGGGCGAGTAGACAAATGATTCTTTAATTTGTTTACATCTCACTGTTCTTCAGTATTGCAATACTAAATGCTACAAGTGTTTGTCTACTACTTTAAAACTGCTCCACCAGCTGAACAACTGCTCAAAGATTATAGGTTAACCCTGTGAGAGACTTTAGGCATCAGCCTACCATAACTACATATTAACATCATCTCTGACCCCAACCAAGATTCAAGGCTTTTGTTGTCATTCGAACATAGCTACAGTGTAGTTATGTCGATGAAGATCTTAGGTCACAGGCTCCTCCAACAGTGCAACACAATCAAACTGACACAATAGTGCAAGTAAATACAATAAACCATGTCCTGAACAGTGAATATGAAATGTTACCATCAAATTGTAGTTACAGGGTCCCAATAAAGTAAGACTGAAGCATTCCTGTTCTTTGTCCTTGATTGATGTTGCAAATGGAGCTGCCGTGATGCAAGAAAAATTTCAGACTTGATCTGACAATAAATCATTATCGTACGTATCATATCCTAAATATATATATATATATATTTATATATGTAATGAAGCAAAACCTGAAAAGTAATATCCCTTTTCATTTTCCAACTGATGGAGTGAGGACTGGAATGTGCAGTGTTTGTGTTCACCTGTGTTTTAAGCGGTCACAGAAGGCATCTACACACTGTGCTAGAGTGGAGGGCTCCACTCCGTCCTGCTGCTGCTCCCTGTCGCTCTCCTCTGCAGCCACAGGGGGGAGCTGCTCGATGGAGGTGGACGTGGGAACAATGACGGTGTTGGGACTCTTCCCTGCTAACAGATCCTGATAAATCACCAGCACGCCGTCCAGGAACTCTGCAGAAATATGGCACATCGGGCAATCAGGGGGAAGATATTCATTTTTTGCGTACTAATGGATAATCCCTCTCTCACTATGGGTAGTTAGTGGGTTGTATTACAATTTTCTTATCAGATATCTAAACTTAGAATTGATCACAGCTTGTTATCCTAAAAAGACTTCATCAATCAATGAATTTAACCATATTGGGCCAATCAACAGTCAACAATGAAAATGCCCATGGTTAAACATATAAAATGTGGATAACATTTCATTTACCAGAGAATCAAATACAACAGTTTGATTTCAATTATATTGTAAAATATTTGGAAACGTATACAAATCATTCACCCACCCTAAATATTAAAGGTTACAGCCAAACTGATTGAACAGAGTACACAAGCCCGGACATACTGTGGACGGCCATATTAAACAGTTCTATTGTACCTTTGTAGTAGAACTGTAGCTGGAAGGCAAAGAGGAAGTCAGAGAAAGACATCAGGCAGTCTATGGCGTCGTCCATCAGCACAATTCTACAGGACAAGAAAGGAAAAGCTGATAACCAAGTTTACAGCAATCTGCTGTCAACCTGCACAGCAGTTACCTGCGGATTAAGGGACCCAACCATCCTAACTTAAGATAACTTAATATAAAAGTCAGAGCTGTATGCAACATGAAAATACATTTAAAAAAAATCTTAAATGCGATTCGGTCCATATGACTCAAAGTTAACACTTTATTCATAGGTCAGTTACAGGGTATAGCACTGCTCTGTACACTATACACAATACATAACTACATGTTGATGACTGCACTGTACTGTACTTTAATAGACATCCTGTTTACTCTACTACACTATGTACCTTAGAATAATCCTCATAGTTACTTGAACTTCAATATTTTCAAAGCTTGTGATATTAAACTTGTGGTCACCAACTAACAATTGTGGGACGTCTGTGGATTGGTGAACAACAGTACAAAGAAAGCCTGGTCAAAAGAGTTTGATGAAATAATAAATTGTGTTTGAGCAAACAAGTTCAGTAAGTTGTCTAAGGCGTGTCCGTGTACCTGGCTGCATTCTGCACCGGCTCCAAAGGGAAGTCTGGACACAATAACTGCAGCAGAGACCTGTACTCCAGCATGGAGAGCAACTCTGCCATACAAAATGAGAAAAAAACTCTAACTTAGCCACAGAAAGAACAACAGTGAAGAACATCACCCAAATGTAGTTATGGTTTACACATTCACTTACTGGAAAAGTGTCAAGAACAATGTTTTCACCCATGCAAATGACTGATGATCAGAATATTTAAATGTTATCGACAATCACTTAACTCATGTCAAGATAAACCTAGTCTAATATATAGAAAGGGTCAATTATTTAGGGACAAAACAGATCAGTTTACATTGTAGTTTTTCTAGCTCACTCACCACCACTCTTGCCGATCTGTCTGTAGCATCTCCAGAAGACTCTGATGAAGGAGGCTCTGTTATGTGGAGTGGCCATGATGTAGCTATACTCTCTGAAGAGCACGTGATTACTGTTCTTTACACTGCTGAAACTACAAAAACACACAAATTACAAAAGGAAACCAAATGTAGTAAGTAATATGCATTACTGGCTTTCTGTATCAATTCTATAAGGGGTTTTTAAATACCAACATGTGTGTAGATTAACATATAGGAGAACAAACACATATAATAACATCATGCTTTGTATGGTTTGAATATCATGTTTGTGGAATAGAGCTATGTCTTCGAAAAATGTATTACAGCAAACACTACACCAGTCAAAACCTTTTCCAAGGTTGTGTGTGTGTGTGTGTGTGTGTGTGTGTGTGTGTGTGTCTGCATGTGAAACATACTATTCAGCAAAGTAGCGGATCACCCCAAAATGGGTATATTCTTCCTTATGTTCTAGCAGCTGGCTCACTGCATCACTCAGGTAGAACAACACGTTGCTGTCCGCTGTGAGACAAATGAACAGTCACACACGCGCCGATACAAATACAAATGTTTTTCTTGTTTTATAACAGATAGTTCGTTTTAATAAATCAATGACGGCATACTGATGCAGCGTGATGATTTGAATGGAAAATGCACAGTAAAGAGGTGCTAGCTAAAGAGCTCAGCTGTTAGCACAGCCGGCTAACACCTACCGAGGTACTCGTTATCTGGGACGGCCGAACTGAACCGGTTCATCGTGGTCGTCCTTTCAGGAGATAACGGTGACATCAACATTGATAACACAGGTATGAACACAAGTGTTATACAATGAATTGTTCTAGCCTTGAGATGTTGCTAAGCAAATTATAGTACTGACTGTTTTGTTCTAGGTTCTAACGTGGCCTTCCACAAACCAGCAGGGTGTTGTGAGTTACATTAATTAAAGCCCCCCGAACAACAAAGCACACAAAGGTTCCCTTCTTCTTCTTCTTCTCTCGGTTTTTGGCGGATTGCAAACAACATTAAAGGTGCATACCGCCACCTACTGTACATGAGTGTGAATCATCATATCATTCCATCTCTTAACTCATGGACGTATATATCTATGATCTAATACAACAACAAAAATCAACAAAAAACATAAAATAAATAAAACAAAAAACAAAATAAAAATCTATGATCTTTCCTGACCTAATGTTAAATTATTTTTCCTACCCCAGTTTGACCACACTAACGTAGGGAACAATAGACCTGAACATCAGATGCAAGGATTTGTATAGTTACAGGAGGGGCCTTATTTTAAAGCAGCCAGTGAAATCTGTTCGGGGATAAGGGAAACATGCGATGGTCCAATCGGCAAAGGAATGTCATACTTGTGGGGAGGGTTAGAGTTCAAATGCGACCAATCAATGACTTCGTTTAGTGAAAACTAAGGTTCCGCTAATGAGCGAAATCCAATCTTCAATACGCAAATCCAACAACTATGTGGGGTGCACTTCTCCTGTTGTGTCCTAGGCCGTGTCTCAATTCAGGGGTTTCATCCTTCGAAGGGTGCATTCGTAGACCGCATACGTCACTTCCGCCGAAAGAAGGCTGTCCCAATTCAAAAAAAAGACGAGACTCCTCCGAATGCGGCCCACGAATGCAGCCTTCTTTTCCCCAATTTGAAGGATACATCTGATGTACACTCCGCGGCCTACCATATCCCAGGGTGCAATGCGCGCAGGGAAGAGTGAGTTTTTTTCAAATGAAATGGCTTCCGGTCTCCCCAGCAGAGTGGATTTAAAAGCAGCAGCAGCAAGCGGAGGAATCACTAATAAATGTGAGTATTGGGTTTTAACTTACTTTAAATTAACTAACGTCACACACGTCAAACCCAAGGGGCATTCAAACGTACATTTTCGTTAAATAATACGGATAAATATGTGACGCTAACTAGCTAGCTGGACGTACTGCACTGTTGTTTACACTTATTTTTAATTCAATTCAGAAGTTTACTAAAGTCATACAGAGATCTTGGCTCTGTTATAGATACGTTATACTTTATATTACATAAATGGACCAAAGTGAAAACATTTAGACCGGTATAGCCTACAGTACGGTGGGATTTATAAAATGCTACCCTGACGTGTAGCTGCTGTTTGCTTTATTTATTTCTCTGACATTTTGCAATGTTTTACTGTTTATTAAACTTTGGGACAACATTACAACCTTTGTGTTCAGCTCATGCTGCTTTGAGGTAGGGCTAAAAGAAAAGCCTATTTTAAATATTTCCACCAGATTTGATCATCTTTTATAAGGTTAAAGTTTATTTAATGTATCCTAATCCCATAATAATAAGACAATCAAAAATAGACAGCAGCCTTTTGCTTGATGTTAGTTTGTGCAGTGCTGTCAAAGGGATGCACGTGTGACTGTGATTTCATCTCTTTAGTTTTTTAAAAACCAGAACAGTACATCATTTTAAATGATCCTTTAGGGATTGTTTGTCTGAAATACTTAGAGTTACATTTTGCAATAATACTTCTGCAACCCTGTGTTTAATATGATTAATTCACTTTTTTCTTTTCTCTTGTTTTTCTCTGTAATTAGTAAAATTCTGGATAAATAGATCTGCTGGAGAAGGACCCCTAATCTGAAAAGTGCACAGCGGATCATCAGGACAGAGCTGCCATCCACCTGGACCCCCCGTGGTGCTGAAGAAAGCAAAACGGTGATCAGGAACATCCTCCACCCAGACCTCTGCTTACTGCCGTCCTACAGACTTGTGTCTTAGGCGCCGTTTACACGAGGAGAAAACTGCTTGTATCTGCATAGTTTCGCGTGCGTATAGCCCTATTATTTACACGAGGCTGATAGAAACTGACCCCACAAACGATAACGGGTCCCAAGGTGGATAGATTTGCAAACGAAACGCTCTGGGGGGTCAACCGAGTCCGTGTAATCACCTCTATACGAATATTTCCTGGAAAAATAGGATAGCCCCGCCTCTCCCCACCTCTCCTGCTCACTGCTGTAGCAACTATCAAAAATAGCTGTGTTAATTAAACGCACAAGGGGTTCTTGAATGAAATAATATTATAAAAGGCAAACCAGAATAGTTAACGCCCAATATACTCCTTAAACAAAATAAACAGAGTCAGATTTCATGCATTGATCCATTATATTGACAAAGGAGGATCTCACCCGGTGTTTGTAGAGAATATCTCTCTTTTCTGAGCGGGTCCTCTCCACGGAGACGTCGGTCGATGCAATATCCACAGATTCGGTTTCTTTCAGTTAACTTCCCCGTTGCATTTATCCATATGCTGAGGAAATGACTATATCCCGCTGAATACCAGCAATCGCCACACACACTTCCTCCTGTCAGTAGCTACTGCTAGTGCTACTGCTACTGACCATGCTACAGATATTAGTGCAAAAATATACAGCTCCTCTACCACAACCATCAGCAACAAGTGGACATGGAGAATTACATGAACTACATGTTGCTAAATACACGGCGGGGCATAAACAGAAGGGTAGCCATGGCAACATTGCAGCGGGGGCTGCTGGGCTGCTCTTCTTCGCTACTTTTGGTGTAATTTGGCGGAAGTTACAGCGCCACTTACAGTCCCAGCATATGTACTACAGCGTTTCCAGCGGCCTCGTTTGAACAGACACGTTAAATGAAACAAATGCATGTGAACGGAAGACTTTTTTGAATACGCATACTGTGCATAAACGCAAACGGTCCCGTGTGAGCGGGGCCTGAGTTTCAGAATTAGATTTTGTATGTGTCTTTTCTTTTAATAGATATGTAACGATTATAGCTTGAGTCTGTCTGATTCCCCAAACAGCTGCTTCTATATACTTGCTGCACATATAATACAAATAAACAACTCCATAAACACACTTTTGCTGATATTTGTTTTACTGCTGATGATGTTAAATAACATGATTGATTTCCTCTGTCTCAATGATGAAAGTTATAATAATAGAAGACGCTGCAGAGAGAGGATGGATATATTCTTACCTCTACTTTGTGATAAGATGAAAATACAATATTAAATAGTAATTGTTAAACACATTGTTTATTTCATTTACTGAGGTTTTAACCATTATTTCCAACATGTGTACATAAGCAGTGGAATAATAGGATATCTCTAGGTCATTCAACTGTCTTCAGTTTCATTTTATTAATACAAAAAATAGGTCATAGAAAATGTTTAATTGTGTATTTCAGCAGAGCGGGGGGTCACGGTGCTGCTGGACCTGGAGGTGCTGACCTGGGGTCAGTGGGACATCATCTGGGCAGGTTTAGGGGAAGAAGGAGAATATTTACTGTTATGATCACAGCTATTAAGATTAGAACACTAATATTGTTAAGAATCAATCTATACAACATGCTTTTGTTCATTTAAAAAACATATTGTTTTAGTACAGAAAAATTAAGACTTATTTTAAATATGAAATAATATGATTAAATTACATCAGCTATATATCATTTACTTGTTAACTTACTAATGTAACATTACTGGGGGCTAAAGGAACAGCTTCATCTTATTTACTTGGCCATGGTCCTCTTTAATTCATCGCCGACGGTGATCTCCAAAAAATGTAAAAGTAAAGTTTCTGGATCCTTTTCAGCTGAGTTAGCTTGTAAGCTAATTTGCTAGCAGGCTGCTGGAGCAGCGTAACCGAACAGCGCGTATCACGTGACGTAAATACGAAGCCCTCCGTAGGCTAGACAGTCTCATTTCGTAGGCCGCTCGGTCCAGCCTACCCGGTCTACGTGGGCTGGGTCCTCCGTGGACCGCGTAGGCTGCGTACTCCGAAGGGTGCAGCCCCTGAATTGAGACACGGCCCTAGTATATATTTTATTTTTCATGCGGTGAGGTTGTATACACATTGTATGGATTAAAGAACAGAGGGATGTAGGCAGGGTTGTGGCCGGGTCTCCACCATAGGTCTCCACCCCTTCTCTGACTCTCCGCCCTTTGAATAATTTCAAAAGCTGCAACAAGTTGGACATAAAAAGCAGTAATAGGACCGGAAGTGTGTTAATTTGTCTTTTAAACAGTGGCCATAAACAAAGAAATAAATAGTTTTCCGCATTGTTGATTAATCTAAGACATTAACGACCACACACTGTATACTGTATGGTGATTCACGCTATACCTTCTATTCACTTTAAAAACGTTGAAGCTGTCAGTTTTATTTAGAACCGGAAGCTTTGCATCTTCTTGTAGGCAGTATCAACGCTTTATTTTGTTAGCATCCCGTTAGCATAACATTAGCTATATCATCTTTGTCCGGATGATTGTATTGTTTTCAGTGATCCTGTAGGTCCTATATGTGTGGGCATTTATATGTAATGCGTTCTATATTCATTGCGGATGCAAAATAGCTGATAGATGAACGGTGAAGCTTGATAGATTTTGACGGCTGTTGCCTGCCGTTGCTATCGACGCTCATTTCAAAAGATGGCCGTGTCGCCCAGAATGCACCGCGATCTCCATTCCTATAAAGATCGACTGGGCTTGTCCACAGTGTTCCCATTATCATCTCCGTCTAACTGGACATCCAGCATCGTTTTGTCTCTTAGATTCATACACAGGTAACCCATCCATATACAATCATTTTCTGAATATAGTGATCATTAATGTTTTACTCTGAATTAGCATGCTAGGTTCCTGTGTTTCTGGAGCTGTCATTTTGAAGTGCGTTGTTAGGCCTGTCTATGTTGGTGGTTGTGGCAGGTTAGCTTATAGCCTTGTTTATCAGTAGCTAACGATGGCTACCCACCTTTAGCAATAAGAAAAGGCAAACCGTAATGTCTCGCTATGAGTATATGTTGCTGCTATGTTTAAAGCTTATATTCGAAGTTATTTATGCATTGTCACAGTGAGCTGTTATGTTGTAACGGCTTTAACCAGAATGAGCGGGGTAACGTGCTAACGCAGCAACCATCA